TTTTGTGCTGGAAAGCCTATTTATGCAGCCCACCTGATTATTACAGAAGTGCCTAATGCCCAGAGCTCCTAGACAATGATTTAGTACATACAGACCAGTCCTGCAGAACATTACTGGCTCCTCCCTCCCACCCCATGGGCGTACCCTACCCAGCACTCTTCTCTCTTGCCCACACAGCCAATTTCAAGCATCCATAATCTGATTTTTAGATGATTCACTGCTAACCAGAGAGAAAAAGTAGGTTCCCCTCATCCACATAAAACTGGGCTTTCCAGCTCTCCTCTTTCAGCTCAACTGGAAGCAAACTGGAGCAGAGAGGCACAAGACATCCAGGATGGAGGCAGAGAGCAGGCAAACCCCAGAGAACATGCACAGCCCCTCTCTGGTTCTCAGAGGTTGGCAACTGCTCACCTCACCCAGGGTATGAAATGCTCACCTTTGAAAAGGGTTGTACCTGCTCCTGACAGGGAGGGGATAAGACTGTTGTGACATGCTAAGTGGGTGGACAGGAAGAGGCTACTTTTCTGATGCCTCCCTCATGTTTTATGAAGTGAGTAATACATGAAGACAGTGCCCCTCTCACCCCAGACTTGCTACAGCTCCAGGTAAATTTACTGTAATGGACAAATAGGGGATACAGACAATGCATCTACGAGTGGTTTAACTTAAGAGTTCATTTAGCTACCACCTCGTGTTGTTTAAACATCAGAGCTGGGCTCTGGTTTTGCCTCTTCAGCATTATAGTGTAAGCTACTTAGAAACTGTCAACAGTAAGAACTGAACCTCATCTGTAATTCCTGAAGATACACGTTTTGGTGGACACACCTGAGCTCCTGTGGCCTTTCAACAGATTGAACACATCTTTGTGCAGGTAAATGAGCCGCACGTGCTTTATTTACCAGCCCCACTCACAGAAATCTGCTATCAGCAACTATGAAAAGGTGGCAGGAAAGCATTTAACTGCACTTTTTTTTGTCCAGTTGTTCTCCATTCTGCTTGAAGGTGTCCAGGTTTTAAGAGACTGATTTTAAACACCTCAGCTGCTTGCAGTTGTTGCAGAAAACTATGTGAAATGTTCAAATTACTGAATTACACAGCACTCAAGCTTTCTCTCCTCACTTTGACACAGCTGAATGGATGACTCCATTGAGAGAGTTTTTCAGTGAAGACATCCAGAATGCACACCAATGAGCTTTTTAAGAGAACCAGTCAGTGTCTACTTTCCTCAGGGGGAAAAAAAAATAATTAACAAAACATTTTGTCTTCACGTTTAAGATTCAAGATTGCTTTCCATAAGAATCACACTGACATCTTTCTAACCTTCCTGGTGTACCAGAGTAGAGTTTTTCTCCCCTCCTGGCTCACTTTCTATTCACATCATGCACGAATCCAGACGGTGCATGTGGACAAGGACTGTCCAATCTAAGCCAGTCCCTCCAGGATCCCCTCTAAAACTAGCATGTCACAACCATGTTGTATTTCACTACCCTTTTAGCACAGCAGTAAAGGAAAACAACCTTGCCTAAGAAAGGGAAGGACAGGCATTCCTGCTTTGCTTGAAAAAACAGGGGCAAGGAACAGAAGGAAGGACAAGCAGTACTGCCTCCCAAACCCCAACCGAGAGAGCCACGAGAGCTTTCCCGAGGCAGCGCGGGGGGGTGAGGCGGGGGAGCAGAAAGGAGAAGAGCTCTTTTCGGGTTTCCCCAGTTCCCAAAAGGGGAGCAGAAATCACAGCCAATCCCTGCCGGGCAGCGAGGAACCGGCGGCTCCTCTGGCCCCCAAAGCGAAGCGGCCGACCCAGGGAGCAGCCCCTGCAGAGGGAGCGACGGAGGGATCCCGGACTCCCCGGGCCGCGGAGGCCGCGGGGCGGCTCCCGCCGCCCTCAACCGTGCCCGGGGGCGCGCGAGGAGTCTCCCGGCCCCTCCACCAGGGGCCGCGTCGCCCCCGGCCCCGGGAACGATGGCGGGGGGCGGGCTCACCCCCAGCCCGCGGCCGCCCCTCCCTCCATCCCTCCCGCCGCCTCCACACACAGGGGCAGCCTTGCTCTCTTACTGTGGCCTCTCCGCGGTGCTGCCGCTGAAACGCCCCGCGCAGCCCCGTCCGAGCCCAAGCCCGGCCGCGGCCGCCGCCGCCCGTACGTGGCAGGGCAGAGAGAAGGGGTCGGAGCCACGGCCGGGCCTGCGCGAGCCGCGCGCCTGCGCGCTCCGCCGCGCGGGGCTCCGCCCACCTCGGGCCAATATGGCGGCCCCCGGCCAACATGGCGGCCGCCGTCATTTCTTGCCGTACCATCTCAGCGCCGCCCTGTACGGGTTTCCTCTAACAGAGGGGTTGTTTCGAAATACGAACCGTAGGCCCGCATAGGACTGGCTGTGCTGAAAAGCAAAACGGGCCGTAAAACTCTCCTGTAGTTGTCAGGCGCCGCCACCCTGGCACAGGAGCTTGTTCATCCTCGAATATTGACTTCCAGGCGTTCGCTACTATTCACACACACACATTCATTGCATTCGGAGCTTGTCCGCCTAAGAGAGGAAAACATGAAACTGAGCCCCGAGTTTTGTCTGTCAGAGGTGCAGGAATGGAATCCTAAGTTGCGTCTCCCAGTGCTGTTGGAGCTGGACCTGCTGCTGTTCTTGGATATCTGAGATTTCTGCTGCTTTTCTTCATTTATCAGTGAAGCTGCGCTGTGCTAGTACAAGTGACAGAAGTGCCTATGCAGAGCTACCTAAAGCACGACCGTGGTTAGTTATTTCCTGGAGTTAAAGGTGCCCTTGAGAAGACACCTTTTCCTTCAATGTCTTGAAAAGCCAGGCTTCCAAATGGTGATTTCTGCTGGGACAAGAAAAATGGCAAGAGTTGTTTGATTTTTGAAGTATTTGTCCTTGCTGAGAGCTTTGTATTTGCCTAGAGGAGTATCCCAACTTGCAGTTAGCAGTTGTTATTCACATTGAAATGGAGGTGAAAAAAGAAGAACGCGACACACATTTTTAATTCTAAACTTTTTAATGAGGAGGAGCCGCACAGTTCAGGAAGCTTCTTTGCTAACTATTAGAAAATATTTAGATGTAATTTTGGCATTTTCAGTTAAAAAAATCTCTGATTTTAAAAATATATTAAAAATATAGGAAAGATCTGGAAAATTGGACCTATCAATCCGTTATACTTTCTGCTGCTCACATTTCATACCTTTGTACTAATGATTCAGTCCTCCTCCAATCCATTTCTTTATCAAAGCAGTGCTTCCAGAGTGTTAAGAAGAAAATTCATGGTCCTTAAAGCTCACACATCACAAACAATACCAAAGTTCACTACATTATGAAGATAAATATATTCCATGTGTAGATAAGAGCTGAACTATTGTTCCTGTAACAATTAAGCATATAACCTGAAAAAGATTATTTTACTTTGTTCCATTCCTGAAATTAGGATTCCCTGGATGAGAAAAAAAAAAAAGCCATAAAACACGTAATTTCCTGTGAGTTTTAATGCTGAAAACATTTTATATTAGGCAAGACGTGGTCAGTGTAGGCTGTAACAGTATTTTATTAACATCTGAAATACTTACACATGGGATATTTCATTTAATTAGTAAAAAAGTCAATACTTTTCCAATTCAATACTTCAAATTCTTCTTGTGGTTTTTTGCTTGTTTTTCAGGATAATATGGAGAAAATATTTTTATTAGGTTTTTAAAAGAGCCATGTTCAAAATGTAATGGGATGTGCTTTAGAGAATATTTTTGTTTGTGGGGGAAAAAATATCAGTTATTAGAAAACATTATCCTTCCTTGAAGGAGCCATCCCCACAGTGCCTAGCTGTGTTTTACAATACAATCAAATACCATCTTTCCTAAACCACGGAAATTTCTAAAATACCTTTCTTCAATGGAATTGAAGGACTTGACAAAAGCAAGCACTTAGACACTTGATTTACAAATAAAAAGGGATGCCCAAAAAAAACCATGAACTTCCTGTCCAAAAAAATAGTGTGAATTACCTTTCCTAGGTAACTTTCAATAACCCTTTCTGCTTTTTTTGGAGCAGTGGTGATGAACTTCAACCTCGTATCTGATGTGACTGTTGTTTCTGGAGGCTTGTTAGTGCCAGAGAACACTTATTTTCTGCCTCAGAGAGAGAGAGCACAGATTTCTAAGAAATGGGGAACTTTTCAGGACTGATGAAACACTTAAATGAAGATATTTAGCAAGTCTCATGTATGATGCCCAAAATGTTCAGACATCACATTTGATCATGCCCACAACTCTCTTTGGAGCAGATTGGAAGTTTTCAAAATACGTGGCATTTATTTTCAAAAAACATGAAAGTGGGAGGTAAATCTGACCACACTTCTTAAACCAGATTATTTAAAACTCAAGATGGTGTGTTCTTGTTTTATTAAAACCAGCAATGACAAAACATGTAAATATATTTGTTCAGGGAGCAGAATAAAGAAATACAGTTTCTAAAAACTGCCTGTCTAAATTTCCCACGCTTTTTTTCTCGAACAGGAGAGAATGGGATGAGAATGCCAAGAATGCTCAAGTCAGGGTATGCTTCCTTCCATCCAGGTACTCTCCTGTTAACCTTGAAGGGGCGTGTCAGGGGGCAGAACCAGGGGTGGACAGAACTGGGGTTGGATGGACCTTATTATAAGATCATAGAACCAGTGTCTGAAGGAGCACATCATGTGTATTCCCTGGGCCTCAGGCCTGAGATTAAAGTACCTGCTCTCTTTATCTTTTCTTATACACTAAATTGGCCTGGAGTCTTTTTTCCCTGCGGTCTCTTAAGGCAACAGCAGTAATAATCACCTCAGGACTTTTTGCACAGAGAGTTTGTAGATCTGGTCATCACTGTGTACAGGTACTTGGTTTTCAGGAGATCAATAACAAACAAATTAATGTTTAGGGATGGGGAGATTTTCACATATTTCCAATTAGCTGTTTTGTAGAAACTATCCAGTGGTGTAGTAATGAAGAATCCATTACTCCAAGTACTTCATACGCCTTATATGGAGGGGCATATTTATATGAATATAAATGCAAGAACCCATCAGGGCTGTGCGGGGAAAGAAGATGCAATCACTTTCCTGTAGGCTTTTATCCAGCATCATTCTGAAAGGTCTCAAGCCATGAAGCTCTGGTTACTTCCCCGTTGGTTACTTTCCAACAACTAATGCAGAAGGGTTTTTTTTCCTGATATTCTCTCTGAAAATTATTTTATATATGATTTGGTGTAAGAAAAACCACTCAGACAGGACGGTCTTTTCAGTGCTGTCCTTGAAATAAAATCCCACATTGATTTGTACAGTGGGAAGAGTTTTATATGTGACAGACCAGAAGGATAGCATCCCTTTCTGAACAGAAGTTCTGAATCCCTGTAACTGCTTTCCAACAAGTTCCCCTGCTATACCAAGCTATAGAACAAATAAATCTGATTTGGTTTTTTATCTCAATTATTAGTCTCAGAATTGCTAAATACTTTACCTGGGTAGCATTCAAAATGCAAAACAGACAGCTGAAAACAAGACTTGTTTTTTCGTGACTCATTAAAATGAGGTAGCCTATCGTCCAGGTGATTCTGAGCACTACAAATGTAGAGATAGTGCTAATCATATTTTTCATTAGTGAATCCTTTTTATTCCTACAAACACACACACACAAGTTATTAAATCTTTCTCTATACTACTTAATATCTTTTTGAGCTTTAAACTATGTATTTATTCAGAGCTGTATTGCAAAGGTATGTTTTTCAGGTGAGTTGAGAGTATACACTTCTCTGTATTTGTCTGATGTATCATCCAGAAAAGAAATCCAGAAAAATAAATGTAACCAAATTTATCAGACTAATTTGGGCTTGGAGTATGCAGCTTGGTTGTATCTTTTTTTAACAAAAAAAAAAGTGAGGTTTACCAAGGCAACAAGAAGCATTAAAAATTAGCATTTTAGGTATTATAAGTTTTTTATAATGCCTGTAACTTCATTCTAAATGTGCATAATTTTCAATATAAGAATAAGCTGCCAGTGAAGTTTGAATATCTAGTTTCTCTCAAGCCTGAAGAGACTCAGAGATAAGGTATTTCATTTGCTCCAATCACAAAAATTGTACATAAAGGAAAGAAGAAATGGTACTAAGTTTTGTTGAACAGATCAGTTCCATGGAACTTATAAAAATTAAAGCAGTCCCCTTTTAAATAATACAGTGTTCACTGTGGAGTTTGTGGCATACAGCCTGTGACAATACATGGAGTGTTGATGTAAAACAGAGCAAGTAAATCTTCTTCAAGGTGCTAGAGAACTGGCCTGGTGTTCAGCTGTGCTGGGAAAGTCATAATTCTCATTTGGCTGGACCCAGCTCTGCTCTCACTTTTATGGATTTAAATTGGGGTTTACTGTCATTGCACCAAGCACCATTACATTTGGTGCAGAGCATAACTTTTGCCCTCCAAGAAGCATGGCTATGCAGGTTTGCCTCCTCAATGCCTTTGCTTCACTTCTTGTCTTCCTCATCTCCTGCCTGCCTGTTCACTGGGCAGCACATCTCATGGCAAGGAACCGCATTCACAAGTTTTTATCTGGGTAATAAACATGCTTCTTAAAGTCTGTTCCTTCTTCAGCCCTAACAGAGAACTTCCAGACTGCCAAGCATTTACTGTGCTCTCAAAGCAAATACACAAAGCAGTGAGTCAGAATCACCCTGTTTGGACATGTGTAACTAACTAGTCACAAGACACAGTGAAGAACCTAATGCTGTGCTGTCATGCAAATATACCTGGAGCACAGTGACACGTAGTCAGGCAACTTTCATCACTGGACATTTTCCAGCTTGTACATATAGTCCAAATTCTAAATGTTTTAGAGGAATTGCCTCTGTAAATGCAAAACATAATAATGAAACAATGAGGGTTGAAAACTGCTTGGTGGGAGCCATCAGGAACAACACACCACACAAGCTGAATACACAGCATGGAAAAGGCAGATGTTCCTGTGCACTTGTTCCTTACAAGAGTTTCTTGAAGGAAGCTGAGATTTTCACTTTTCAATGTGGGCATCTGTCTGCATTCTTCAGTTCTCCAAGTAGTTCCCTTTCAGCTTGCAGTGTTGCTACTAACTGCTGTACTGACTTTAGAATGTGTTGTTTGGTCATTAATAAATAATAGGCAACAAATAACGACAGTCACTCCTTGCTTTTGGATGTATTCAAGGCTCTGGCTGAAGTCACAAGGAACCTCAGAGATATCTAAATTAAGGGGTTTAGTCAATATATGCAATCACCTTATTTGAAAGATTTTTTTACTTAGTTGGCAGAAATGGATTGTTTAATGCCTTGATTACTGTGAAAATTTCTCCTGCACACAGCAGACCTGTGCTGCTGTGCCAGTGACCAAGCTATTGGTTTCAGTACTGTATCAAGACAATGAAAAAAAGCTCAGTTTATACCAGTAGTGTGAGCACTAACAGAAGATTATTAAATCACATGGCACTAAACCAGAGAGAGACACTGATTCTAGTTGCCCTCTGCTGATCCCCTATCTTTACAACTTTCCCTGACTGCACTCTGTACCGTAAAAGTTGCAATATATACAACTTTAAATCTTACCCCATCCAATTACTGACATGGTTACAAAGAAATGTCCAGGCAGCGGCTTCGTGGCTCTAAGCAACAATAAGTACAATTGTGCAGAATTGAGTGCTGTCAACGTAAATGTTGCCAAGAAAAAATAGCACAGTAGGACAGCCACAGCTGTACACCAGGAGTCTGTGGGACGATCTGCCGTGTCAGAAGTGAGTAAGGTGTTACTGGTGTTATCACAAGGAAGGTATTGCTGGTGGTAGCTGGTAGTATCACTGCTGTGATTCCTGGCATTATGGTTTTCAGTTCCAGAGATGAAGATTATGTTAAAAATGAGCATTAAAAGCAGAGACTCGCTAACATTCATGTTACAGATGACTTTCGAGTTTTCCTATTGGTAGGAATATGTTTAGGAGAAAAAAGTAGAGCAAAATAAGAAAAATTGTAAAATATTTCCTCATGTCTATTTATACTAAAAGCAAGCTAGAGAGTACAGCCTTTAACATAGAAACCAAAACAATAACTTTTTTTCAAAACTGTATCATCATTACTTTTAGCCAACTTGCCAAATCCATCAGTTTTATCGGATTTCAACTAGAACAGAGAATACCCAGCAACTTTTAGGACTGGGCCTTGTCTAAAAGCAGTTTGGGATGCATTTTCCTTTTTCCACTCTGCTCTTTTTGGAATCCTTTTCTTCAGTGTTAAGAAGTGAAGTAGCATAAAACACATATTTCCCAAACGTTCTCCAAAGTGCAAAGAGAATAATAAAACTCTACTTCCAAACTTCTTATCACAGAATCAATTATGTTGGAAAAGACCTCTGACATCATCGAGTCCAACCTATGACCCAACATCACCACGTCAACTAGACCATGGCACTGAGTGCCACATCCAATCTTACCTGAACACCTCCAGGGACAGTGACTCTACCACCTCCATGTAATATGTATATTATACATTTATATACATTATATACAGTTATTTAACTATAATCTTAATTATATATAATTATATAATATATAATTATAATTATACATATATTATATAATATANTTTGTTTTTTTTTTGGCACAGTGCCCTGTGGCAATAAGCAATTGACAGAGTTTGTGGGATGTATAGGTGACAGAAATGAAGGGTGTTTAGAAAATGTGGCATAAAAAACATTTTTCAACTTCTTTATTTAACAGCTGATATTGCCAACTCAGTACTGTCAACCTAGGAGATTTGTACCCAAAATACTATTCCACAAAAAGTTACAGGTATACCAGAGTAGATTTGTCCTAGGGTACATTAGTCTTATATCAAGAATGAAAAAAACCAGGTCCCTGGAGGACAGTTTTTTCCTCCAGGAGACTACCAAAACTTTGGAAAACAAGAAAATTCAACAAAACTGGCATGGCCCAATATACGTACCAATGTGGGGGGTGTTCATCCTTCATACTATCTTTTAACTCTGGCTTCCAGTTAAAACCATTGTGTGCTTTTTTTTGACTTCGTCCACCAGGGACTGTTTCCAGATGTTACTGCTTTCTTGCAGGAAATGCTCTATGTGACTGTCCATTTGCCAAAAAACCCGAATTTTTAGATGATATGTATTCATGTTTGGCATGGTTTCTCCAGAAAACAGTAGTTGGCCTCTTCTTACAATATTTAACAAAGCTTTTAAGTTCAAGTGCATCCATATTACAGATCATAATCATCACCATGTGTTAAGTATGGGTATATATAGTTACATACAGCTAAGTACAGATATGTATAGGCACATGGGAGATGTGTCATTTCTAAGGAAATTACTGAAACAAACTTATAATTGATTTTTTCACTCCTACGATTATTCCTCATTTTTAATTGAGCTGCCTAATACTGTGAAGAGTTGTGTTCACTTCTTATTTGCACTTCAAGCTGCTTGTTGCTCATTAAAATGCAGTTCTAATTGCAGTATCCTGAAGAAGTATGTTGTCCAAAAGTGACTGCATGCTGTTTGATGTATGATTGCATGAGTGCCACTGTGATGCAGGAGGGGAGGGGACGGTTCACAGCATTTATCACTGTTTGCTTCCTGTTACAGTGTGGATTCAGCATTACATCAGTCATGTAATGCTACTGATTTCTGAAAGCTGTTGTTTGACTTAGGCAGAATTCAATTGGCAGTTGTTTAATGCTCAGTCAATGGGAATCTGAATCCGAGTTACCTGAATAATTCACAGAAATGGGTGACTTCATTGGCAATTTTAGCTGAGAAAGGCACATAAAGTAAGCTCAAAATGCAAAATTATGCTGTTATTGATATCTTTCATAAGGTTTACTGGAAACACATGCATCTCTTAGTAGCTGTCAGCTCCCCTTTTAAAATCAAATCATTGTCAGTACCCGCTCTTTGCTAGTGCCTATCTCTTTATGTTTCTGTAGCCATTTTATCTCCTTGCAATCCCAATCCATAGTACAACACATCTGAACTGCAGCTGCGTGATCATGCCCGTGTCTTTTGGGACTACTCTGTCAGTGACTGGAGCACTGCTGGCTGTGCAAAAGGAAGAGACCAGTTCTTGAGATGCAGGTGTAATCACACGACTAATTTTGCTGTCCTGATGGTAGTACATTGTAGTTTTTTTAATGGGAAGAGTCTCTTTTGGTTTTTCTTTCATTTGTTTAGTTGTTTTTAACTATAAGACCAGCATGTTGATATACAGGGGGATAGACACGCTGGGCTAGAAGGCACAGGAATTTTAAGATGTCCCCGTGTACTTGCTTCTGACCTGTGGCAGATCTGCAAATTGTGACATGCGAGCTGTGCCCAAGCTACTGGAGAGCCAAATGTATTGGCAAGTCCTGGCTCTGCACCCCTATTGTTGCAGCTGATTGTTAAGTGAGGGTATATCTAAAGTCTAAGGTGGCCCCAGAAAAAAGTATAGTAGCCTGGAATCTGGGCCAGCTGTGGCACCGCCTTGTGCTGGGTAAATAACTCAAAGGATTTAGCATTACCTACTTCCTTTGCTTATATGCTTATAAAAAGCAATTGCTCTGTAAATATTAAGCCTGCTATCATAAAGTTTTATACACTTCTCTCTTGTACTAACAAGACTATTTGGGAATGACTGTCTGTCTCTGACGTTTGTTATCCTTTCAGTATTTATTTCAGCTTTTCTAAACAAAACACACCCCGGATAAAATCAGATATCTGTGGTCACTAACTTCAGCAGGGCCAGGATTTCAGAGTTTCTTTTTACTCTGTCTTCATAAAATATGATTTCCATATTTGTACTATTTACTTATTTCTGTATTTCCCTTTATCTTATGCATGTCCTTATGGCACAAAGTGACTTCATTCTAGAGAAGATTGTCATCTGTTTATGTAAATGCAACAGTATATTCTGTTCCACTGAATACATTTACATTTACTTGGTGCTTTATTGTCAATATACAAAGACTGGTTTCAATTAATAATTATTTGTAACATCTTACCTTAGACCGAGAAGCCAAAATTCAGAATGTTCACCAGTATGAAAAGTTAAAGGTGTTTCTTCCAGTTTGTGTCACCTTGCATTTTTCTATGAATAATTTAATCTGCTATTTTGCTAAATATTTGATTTACACTGTTAAAACTCTTTTTGGCTTTCTTCAAAAGCTTCTCTTGTTTCGAAGTCCAGAACAATTTTGTGTGATCTGAAAATTTTGGCAGTGGCTAGCAACAGACCTAACTTTACTAAACCATTTTTGGTTTTATGTGCAACTAGAAACACAAACTTCAGAAAGAAATGTACCTCTTCTCATCTGACATAACTGATACAATTTGTTTTCTAGGCCTTTCAGATCAAATATAAATACGCAAAGCCTTTGGAGTATATTTCTTATATTGGTCTTGATTTGCTCATGACTGGCCTGATTGCTACCATTTCGTTTCAAATATTCACTAGGTAAGAGGGAAGATGTAAAACTGCAAGTATTTTACACTGTTACAATGCATTGCTCTGTATATAGTTTGTGGATACACTTGGAGCTTTTCAGTTCACTATCTCACTCAATACTATGCTTTAAAAATGTGTAACAGCATTCCACCACCAGCTTGACCCCCCTTGTACCCTTGTATTACAATTTCTAAACAATTATCTTTCTTCAAGCCAGTAACTGCTTGTGCTACTGTTTAATTGTGAGTGACTTAATACAAATACGATTGCAACAAATTTCCTTAATGGATGTGCCTGTGATTAATGGTGTCATGTGATTCCCCTTTGAACAAGGAGCAAAGTCACACCAACAGAGCTGTAGTTATTAGAGATGAATGCATGTTTTTCATCCTGTTTGTACTAATGTAGATTTGAGCAATTCCATCAAGGTCAATGTTTTAAGACTGTAGGAACTTCCAGACTCTGCCTCTTAAATGCACTTGTTTTTAATAATATATATTTATATACATTATATACAGTTATTTAACTATAATCTTAATTATATATAATTATATAATATATAATTATAATTATACATATATTATATAATATATGTATAATTATAATTATATATTATATAATTATATATAATTAAGATTATAGTTAAATAACTGTATATAATGTATATAAATATATATTATTAAAAACAAGTGCATTTAAGAGGCAGAGTCTGGAAGTTCCTACAGTCTTAAAACATTGACCTTGATGGAATTGCTCAAATCTACATTAGTACAAACAGGATGAAAAACATGCATTCATCTCTAATAACTACAGCTCTGTTGGTGTGACTTTGCTCCTTGTTCAAAGGGGAATCACATGACACCATTAATCACAGGCACATCCATTAAGGAAATTTGTTGCAATCGTATTTGTATTAAGTCACTCACAATTAAACAGTAGCACAAGCAGTTACTGGCTTGAAGAAAGATAATTGTTTAGAAATTGTAATACAAGGGTACAAGGGGGGTCAAGCTGGTGGTGGAATGCTGTTACACATTTTTAAAGCATAGTATTGAGTGAGATAGTGAACTGAAAAGCTCCAAGTGTATCCACAAACTATATACAGAGCAATGCATTGTAACAGTGTAAAATACTTGCAGTTTTACATCTTCCCTCTTACCTAGTGAATATTTGAAACGAAATGGTAGCAGTCAGGCCAGCCATGGACAAATCAAGACCAATATAAGAAATATACTCCAAAGGCTTTGCGTATTTATATTTGATCTGAAAGGCCTAGAAAACAAATTGTATCAGTTATGTCAGATGAGAAGAGGTACATTTCTTTCTGAAGTTTGTGTTTCTAGTTGCACATAAAACCAAAAATGGTTTAGTAAAGTTAGGTCTGTTGCTAGCCACTGCCAAAATTTTCAGATCACACAAAATTGTTCTGGACTTCGAAACAAGAGAAGCTTTTGAAGAAAGCCAAAAAGAGTTTTAACAGTGTAAATCAAATATTTAGCAAAATAGCAGATTAAATTATTCATAGAAAAATGCAAGGTGACACAAACTGGAAGAAACACCTTTAACTTTTCATACTGGTGAACATTCTGAATTTTGGCTTCTCGGTCTAAGGTAAGATGTTACAAATAATTATTAATTGAAACCAGTCTTTGTATATTGACAATAAAGCACCAAGTAAATGTAAATGTATTCAGTGGAACAGAATATACTGTTGCATTTACATAAACAGATGACAATCTTCTCTAGAATGAAGTCACTTTGTGCCATAAGGACATGCATAAGATAAAGGGAAATACAGAAATAAGTAAATAGTACAAATATGGAAATCATATTTTATGAAGACAGAGTAAAAAGAAACTCTGAAATCCTGGCCCTGCTGAAGTTAGTGACCACAGATATCTGATTTTATCCGGGGTGTGTTTTGTTTAGAAAAGCTGAAATAAATACTGAAAGGATAACAAACGTCAGAGACAGACAGTCATTCCCAAATAGTCTTGTTAGTACAAGAGAGAAGTGTATAAAACTTTATGATAGCAGGCTTAATATTTACAGAGCAATTGCTTTTTATAAGCATATAAGCAAAGGAAGTAGGTAATGCTAAATCCTTTGAGTTATTTACCCAGCACAAGGCGGTGCCACAGCTGGCCCAGATTCCAGGCTACTATACTTTTTTCTGGGGCCACCTTAGACTTTAGATATACCCTCACTTAACAATCAGCTGCAACAATAGGGGTGCAGAGCCAGGACTTGCCAATACATTTGGCTCTCCAGTAGCTTGGGCACAGCTCGCATGTCACAATTTGCAGATCTGCCACAGGTCAGAAGCAAGTACATGGGGACATCTTAAATTCCTGTGCCTTCTAGCCCAGCGTGTCTATCCCCCTGTATATCAACATGCTGGTCTTATAGTTAAAAACAACTAAACAAATGAAAGAAAAACCAAAAGAGACTCTTCCCATTAAAAAAACTACAATGTACTACCATCAGGACAGCAAAATTAGTCGTGTGATTACACCTGCATCTCAAGAACTGGTCTCTTCCTTTTGCACAGCCAGCAGTGCTCCAGTCACTGACAGAGTAGTCCCAAAAGACACGGGCATGATCACGCAGCTGCAGTTCAGATGTGTTGTACTATGGATTGGGATTGCAAGGAGATAAAATGGCTACAGAAACATAAAGAGATAGGCACTAGCAAAGAGCGGGTACTGACAATGATTTGATTTTAAAAGGGGAGCTGACAGCTACTAAGAGATGCATGTGTTTCCAGTAAACCTTATGAAAGATATCAATAACAGCATAATTTTGCATTTTGAGCTTACTTTATGTGCCTTTCTCAGCTAAAATTGCCAATGAAGTCACCCATTTCTGTGAATTATTCAGGTAACTCGGATTCAGATTCCCATTGACTGAGCATTAAACAACTGCCAATTGAATTCTGCCTAAGTCAAACAACAGCTTTCAGAAATCAGTAGCATTACATGACTGATGTAATGCTGAATCCACACTGTAACAGGAAGCAAACAGTGATAAATGCTGTGAACCGTCCCCTCCCCTCCTGCATCACAGTGGCACTCATGCAATCATACATCAAACAGCATGCAGTCACTTTTGGACAACATACTTCTTCAGGATACTGCAATTAGAACTGCATTTTAATGAGCAACAAGCAGCTTGAAGTGCAAATAAGAAGCGAACACAACTCTTCACAGTATTAGGCAGCTCAATTAAAAATGAGGAATAATCGTAGGAGTGAAAAAATCAATTATAAGTTTGTTTCAGTAATTTCCTTAGAAATGACACATCTCCCATGTGCCTATACATATCTGTACTTAGCTGTATGTAACTATATATATCCATACTTAACACATGGTGATGATTATGATCTGTAATATGGATGCACTTGAGCTTAAAAGCTTTGTTAAATATTGTAAGAAGAGGCCAACTACTGTTTTCTGGAGAAACCATGCCAAACATGAATACATATCATCTAAAAATTCGGGTTTTTTGGCAAATGGACAGTCACATAGAGCATTTCCTGCAAGAAAGCAGTAACATCTGGAAACAGTCCCTGGTGGACGAAGTCAAAAAAAAGCACACAATGGTTTTAACTGGAAGCCAGAGTTAAAAGATAGTATGAAGGATGAACACCCCCCACATTGGTACGTATATTGGGCCATGCCAGTTTTGTTGAATTTTCTTGTTTTCCAAAGTTTTGGTAGTCTCCTGGAGGAAAAAACTGTCCTCCAGGGACCTGGTTTTTTTCATTCTTGATATAAGACTAATGTACCCTAGGACAAATCTACTCTGGTATACCTGTAACTTTTTGTGGAATAGTATTTTGGGTACAAATCTCCTAGGTTGACAGTACTGAGTTGGCAATATCAGCTGTTAAATAAAGAAGTTGAAAAATGTTTTTTATGCCACATTTTCTAAACACCCTTCATTTCTGTCACCTATACATCCCACAAACTCTGTCAATTGCTTATTGCCACAGGGCACTGTGCCAAAAAAAAAACAAAACAAAACAAAAAAAAACTCTGCTTGCTGGAGTGTCTTTCCATAAGTCCTGAAGACACGTAGTAGGACTGGTTCAAAATGAACATGGCATTTTGTGCAGAGGCTTACCTTGGGACGGAAGGCTATTCCAACACTGCTCACTCTTTCACCATCAGTGTTGCCAGAGATGATTCGTTTAGACAAACTATTGCAACTCTGATAAATCCTTGACTGGATGAGTTTGTAGTTTTGATACAGGACAAATCCAACACTTCCGTTGTCTGATGAACCTTCGCAAGGCAAAGAGAAAGGCAGTACAGATAGCATATGTCAGAGAAGCTGGTGCTTTCAAAGAAGCCCACACTATGCTGTTTCACACATTCAGAATTTACAGGAATTTTTTGTTTATATGTTTAATTAAAATTCATATGAGTAGCGCAGAAGAACTGCTTTCCCATGAACCTCAAGAGACATCTTCAATTTTTGCTGAGGTGGAGTGTGAAAATAATAAAAACCCTTCTCTTAATATCATTTCTGGAGAAAAATACTGGTAAGTTAGGAAAATAATATCCTAAATCCTGATATATACACACACTTAAAATGGCAAGGCTTTTAATAACACTAAATGAGAAACAGTCACACCAGGGACGTTTACAGTTAGTGGGAAGTTAGAGGATAAGTTAGAGGAAGTTAGAGGCTGGCTGGACTTTTGCCTTCAGATCCAACTTTTGGACTCTGTTTCTTTTGCACACTTCTAGCAAATTGGAGTTCACCTAAGTGACCTAAATCACTAGCCTTAATTGTTGCTTAAGTGATATATAATGGATTTTGTTATTGATTTTATACTTGAATTAAGATCAAGAGAGACTGATTTGATCTCTCTCTGATCTGATCATCAAGTGAGACTAATGTAGCTTTATATCTACAAAAAGATACACTTAATATTGAAGGAATCTGTTGGGGGGGTTTTAAGACAAGCTGTGCTTTCAATTTAGCTGTCTTGAGGGAAGTGTTATGGTATACTGGTATTATGATAAAGGCTTTAATTACATGATCACAATGTTTTTCCACAGGATTGTTGTCTGAAACAGTGAACAGAATGTACAGTGACCAGATAATGAGCTATTCAGTGATTTTTTTATTGTCAATGCTGGGAGTGTGAGGCTACCTGATTTATCTCTTCAAGTCTTTTCTAACCCTAGTGAGAGGACTGAATTATTAATTTCTCTGCAGGCTTGTATTCAAATGATATTCAGCATTGTGATGTCTAAGTGCTCCATTAACTTTGCCTTCATTATACTCTTGTGCTGTGATGTCTCAGTGTTGCTGACACTTCACTGAGAGACTGAGGACAAGTCTGCTGGTTTCAGGTGCCCAATCTGAAACTCTTGTGATGTCATAGAAATGCACGTTTGAAGCTCAGCTGCCTCACACCCCCCAGCTTCTGAAGCAAATGAAGCAGAGGAACTATAACTTTTTTTTTTTTTCCTTCCTAGTCAACACCAATTTATCCTCTGAGCACTGCAAATAGTAAGTAGTGGACATCTGGAAATATCCCAGGTGCCTGTGCCATTAATGGCTAATCCAATTTGCAGGTATCAGGATGTGTATGTCCTGGCTGACACCTGACAGTAGTAGTAATTTTAGTTGAAATGGTTGATGTCTTCTGATTTCAGGCAAAGTAAGTGTGTATTAGTTCTTGATGTTTGTAGAGGTATGGTCAAAGATTCATTACACTCTCAATTTTAGAAAACAAAACAAATGAAAAAGTCCCAAACACTGAAAGTATTCTGGTCATTATGTGTATGTATGCATTCATCTATAAATAAAATTATCCAGCTCATTTGACATGTGCATTTCTTGTACCACCATATGGCAGTAGCAGGCATAAAAACCAACTTGTAATTGCTTATATTGGCTGAGGGGTTTCTCCCCAAAGGAGATTTTTAGTGAATATTCATTCAAAAATTTCCCAGGTACAATTTTCAAAAGGAGAAAGAATTTTCTGATACTTAAAACGTTGAACAGTATCTGAACTTCATTACTGAGGTCACTAAGAAGCCCAGGAACATTTTCCTGTATTTCTAGTTTTGTTGACTGGCACTTTCCCAGTGCTGTATCTGCAACAATCAGCAGTATATGCATTAGGATTTATGTTTCAAACTGCTGTGTCCAGGTAAATCCAACAAAGGACTTACTTCTCTGTGCCAAAAACAGAATCATAGAGGAGCTTAATTTCAGTGGAGCAGACCGGATCGCAACATTGGGCTGTGAGATGTTGCCAGTCAAAGAAAATTCCTCCACTGTTTTTGTGAGGCTGCATCAAAAAAATGAGTGGGATAAAAGCTACCATTTTTTGTTAATGTACAGCTCCAGGTTCAGTTTCTGAGCTTCCTCTCTGATTTGGTTCTCCAGTGGGAAGTGCTCCTCATTTCCTATCCCCATGCTTTCTCCAAAGCGGAAGAATCCAGCAATGTTTATATTGGTGTAAATTGGAAATTGCATATTGGAGTTGAATGCTAAAAATATTTTGTCTTGTTCATGAACCACTTTCATCCTGAAACAGAAGGGAAAATGCAGTCGACTACATCTAAAGGAAGTAGCAAGAGCTAAAGTTACCTTGATGTAACATTGACAAGATTACTGTGGATGAATTCTGTTTCATTGGCATCCAAGAGTTGACTCACCATAGCCGTTACTGCCACAGATGCCAGAGACAAGCAGAAAAAAAGGCAATATTCAAATGCAATTGAAATAAATCACCCCATGTGCTACACAGTGGAGGGGCAAGGTAAGAACAGTTAACAAGCATTGCTAAAAATACACACAGTAGAGTAAAAAAGTACAGGAAGCCATTTAAGAGAACACAGGCTTTGTGCCAATGGATTCATAAATGCCACACTTTTATTAATTTAGATAGTTAGGATTAAATTATTAGCTTAAACATCAAATGATGCTCATATTACAATTTCAAATATATGCAAAATTTACACTCAGCCCTGAGAACTGACCCAGTTCCACAAGTATGCACTCAAGACCACTTAAATAACTTTGTTAAATAGCAAAAAAAATGCATTTGTTTGTCGTGTTAGGTGTAGTTGAGAGGAAGGACGGTGTCTTTTCTGCTGGTGGGGATACAGAATTGATATCCCAATAGTAAGCCAAAAAGCCACACAAGTCTTATATTAGTCCTAAGAAGTTTCACCAGAAAGTCTTCTGAAACATTTAGCTTTTCCATAATCTGCACTGCGACGTTTGCAGCAGCAGTGAAGTTTTTTGTGGTCAGTCGGTCTGGCATGGAGGTGAGGATTTGAGTGTTACTTGCAATAGCTGAAACCTTGCTGGGGCCTGTATTTCCTGTGAGGAAAATGCCATTCAACAGAAAGAAAATGGGAAAAGGAACAAGAGTCACCGCTTTTACAACATTCTCACACAAAATAAAAACATACAAGTAATTGGTCGTCTGAAATGTTTATGTTCATGTCAAGTATGTGGTGTTCACAAATTCTTCCTAGAGAATGATTTCATTAATTCAAGGAGTAGCTTGTGTTGGAAGGGAGCCCTGGAGGTCCCCTAGCCCAGCAGGGGTGGATGAGATGAGTCTGTTCGGGGGCTCACTTTGAATACCCACAACCTCCCTCAGAAAAGTGTTTGTTTGACCAGTGTCAAGGGGAAAGATTTTCTTTTGCCTAATTGGAATTTCCCATATTGCCACTTGTCTCTGTGGCACTCATCCTAAAACTGCACACCTTGAAGAACAGCCTGGCCCCATCATTCTCCACAATTTGCCATGAGGTAACTGCAGACAGCAGCAGGACCTCTCCTTTGTCTTGAGGTCATTGAGATTCTGAGTCTGTGAACTTCTGTACACCTCTCACTATTCCTTAAATAAGTAGAATAGGATTTTTTGAAAAGCCATCAGAAGAACTTGAGAAATGTCATCTGGAGCAATCATGCCTCTCAACACAGTGTTTGTAACCTGCACTGAGGACATTATTCTAAATTCAGTATATTATATATAGTGTCAGGTTGGAATAAATGTAGAAAAAAATAAAATATTCTGGTGCTGGAGGTACTAATAAGAATTGCTATAAGTACTGGCTAGGTCCAATTTTAGTTAGTTAGCACTTAATGGATAGAGCATAAATGTCTATAGCATCTCAAGAGTCTAAACACAAAAAAAGATGAGGCATTAGCTGTATGATATATGAAGGTATAGCTAGGTAACAATAAGATTTAAAGAGACAGAAAATCTGCTAATCATCAGGTCAAATAATCTGTTTCCTAATCCTGTCAGTGAATAGTTTAATTGAATTGTTTATGTTGGGAAGCTATCAAGATTAATTCAATCATGTAGTTTTGATGCGTTTGTAAAGCTCGGAATGGTTGAAAATAAAGGTGAATGTGTTGCATGGGTAGGAAGGAAATTTGCACTTATAGTTACTGCAGATTATATTGTTTGACTTGAAAACATCTGCATATGCATCACAAACAAACAGTGCATCATGAACGCCTGTTTTCACTGTTCTGACTTTTAACGTGACCTTTGACTCAAAGTAAATATTTCTGTTTAAAAGGAATCAATCCTTTTAAACCTTGACTCTGGGTCACTGGCATGAACACCTCCTCCACCCATTCCCTAGCTCCCCAAGCGGCCCTTAGCTCACTAGATGGCAGCCTGACATTACGGCTCCCAGTAAAACCCCATATTACCGATGGCAGAAGAACAACCTTATGTTGTAACTTACTGGCATTAGAAATAGCTACTGCTAATATTATATATTAGTTTGAACCATTTAGTGAAGGCTATGTACTACAAAAAATGTAATATTGAGCTTGAGGGTCTCCCAGCAAAGGATCAAAGCAGGTGAAGCATTGGGTTGAAGGTACAGTAGTCAAGCAAAAATGCACAAGGAAAGGGACTTCTTTTACTTAAAGGGATTGTAGCTGAGGGGGAAGGGGTTTGTTTTTTGGGGTTTTTTTCCAATTGGGACTAGTGATAAGGAAATGAAACACAGAAGCAGAAGAAGAGAAGCAGTCACTGTGATGTGCTTAGTCATGTTCAGCTCTCCGTGTTTTGCAGATGTAGCAGAGTTAAATCTTTGAGCGAGGCTTAGGGGTTTATGGGTTTAGGGATTTTATGTAAGGCATTCATACAAGAGAGTTTTAAATTTGAATTCTTGAATGACATAAATGTTCTATTTGTGTTCAGCTGATCATAGAGCTGAATGGAAAGGCTTCACTCTTAATCCACCTGAACGTATTGGTGTCAATATCACTCTCATGCCAGTCTCCTCCAAACTCCTTGCACGTTCTTACAGATTTGGCATCCTGAGTCAGCATCGCCTCCATTCAGAGGCAATTGCTATAAACTGGGAACCTGACTGAGGAAATTGCAGGCCAGTTAAGAAATATGGAATGGGATGCTGTGTTCAGACAAACCCAAGCAAAATAAAATAATCACCATTGGAAATTCAGGCCATTTGCAAAGCAGACGCATGCCAAGAATGCCACTGAAAAAGGCTTTGGCCAATATTTTGCTTTCTGCTAAGTCTTAAGAAACATAACATATATATTTCTTGCCTCAATTTCCTAACCCCCCTCTTTTTTGTCCCCTGGGATGATGCAGAATCTCAGACACTGTTTAAATAGTAATTTAATATTACCTGGGATACTAAGGAGTCCAGATTTTCATTACAATTCAGAATTTGATGAGGCTTTAAAGTTTTCCCTTCTCTGGAGCACATCTGGATTGCTATTGAAGCGTTACCTGTAATTTTGTAAAAGCAGGAAGAAATCCATTTAGTACAGAAGCACTCGCACATGCACATGACCTCATTGAGAATTAAAACTGTACTGTGGGTGTGACACCCTATCCAGTGTTATTTTCTGCTTGCTTGTGAAAATTTATCTCTCAATGTTACAAGTGACCATCAATTATTTAACTAGTTGTTGTTCTCTTTAGAATATGTGTTTTACATTCATATACACAATCTTGTCAGAGTGGCTGACATTCTTTATGTTGAAATAAGACAGGTTTAGTTATGCTGGAGCTGCAGAAACACCTTTTAAATGGGAGACACCAGCATCAGCACTGAAATATCAGAAAGAGATTTTAACATGTTGTGCTGGTTTAAGAGTTAACCAGCAGGGGTAATGAACCCAACTCAAAGGAGAGATTATAAAGTCAGAATAACAATTTATTAAAATAATACAGTAAGTACAATCATACAAACAAACAATTGGTCTTAACCCACAAAACCCAAATGTATAACCCAGTACCTTGGGGCATGAACAAAGTGGTGTTCCCTGGGCCCCGCTTGAGTCCAAAGTAAAGGGAGAGGGGAAAAACCTGCTGGTGGGAGAGCTGTTGCAGTCTGGTCAGAAGCGGTGATTGCAGTCCAGCTGAGGTTGAGAGCGATGAGCTGCAGTCTTCCTCTGGATCCCACGAGTGGTTGAAAAGTTCTGAAACTCCAGGTTTATATATTCTCCAGTTCAGGCAGGAATGGTCAGTTCTTCCCTCAGGGAGTTCCATAAAAGGTAAGAGCATCCTCCTATCTCACAGGCCTCTTAACACCTAGTTTATAGCCTGAGGAGTCAGGCTCTTATGGGCAGAGGGTGCAAATAGTCTATTGACAACAGTTTCTGGGAAATGGCATGGAAGGCTATAGAATACACAGTTTTGGGTTACACCCATACCATGATGAACTCAGCTGTCCTAACTAGGACACATGTCTTGAAAAGCATAATTTATATGTTATGAAAGAAATGCAAAGGGCACATGGAACAGCCATGCAACACTTACTCCTCTACAAGGTCTGTGAAAGCTGAGACAGTTCATGGAACCACAGTTGATGTAAAGCATCCTGAATCCTAATGCTAAGTAGTAGGATACAAACACATTGTTTTTCTATCAAAAGGCTCTATCTGCTCTGTCAGGAGCAGATACTAACTGACCCTAAGCCCACCCCTAGACAGGCATGGATCTGACTCAGGCTGTGTACCTTAAATTCTCTGCATTTGGGATAGAAAGCTATGTGGAAAAGTTCATGTTTCTGCTGCCTAAGCTATCCAATTCTGGCTTGAAACACAGACTTTGCATCTTGTCTAATAATCCAACATCTTTCACAACCTTTACATTCACTTTTAGGAACTAGAAGCAAAAGGAAAGAAATGCATACCATTCACAGCATCGGGTTTACATTTTTCTTTGGAGTTGCCATACTTACCCACTATGATCCATTCAAAAGTAAGGGGTTTTCTATTGCTTTCAGAAATGTTCACTGCGCTGGTACTGTCGTCACAAAAATTAACTGCACAGAAAGAAAAAAATAACCTATATCCAGATGAAATATTTCTAGCACAAGGATCAGTTTTCAAAAATTAGGGAGTGTTGAGACAATAGAAGCTCATTGAATCTTTTGCCCTAAATTAAATAAAAGCAGTTGGGTAAATCCTGTCTAAACCCAAGCTGCTGAGCTGCCACAAGTGATATTTATGAAGTCAGTGAAATCTTAAAAGCCCATCCTCTTTGCCATCTCTCCTATTTTCACTGCTTTGGTCCTCAAAAATTTGTAAAATATTATAAAGCTTCACTTTCAGTGTCTTAATACCCAGGCAGAAAACAGATTTGGTAACCTACTGCCACAGAACACAGCAGGTGGCAAAGATACACGTTACTTCAAATGGGGCTTGGACAATTGATGGGGAACAGTTGTCTGGTGACTCTGAACCATGATGGGTCAGATGGGACTTCTGGTTCAGGAAGTCGCTGTCCTGCTGGCTGCTGGAATGGGACAGAATGACCACCCCAAACCCTACACCTTGTCTAAGCACACAACACTGGCTACATTTAAAGGCAGGATGATGTGCTCAGTTGAACCCATGGCCTGACCCAGTACAGCAACCTATTACAATCTCAAGTCATACCATACTGCTGTAACGGAGCACAAATTTACCTTGTAAAACTACAAACACTTGGAGAAAATATTGCAGCACACAGGCAGAAAATTTTTGCTTCATCTTACAACTTGCAACATCTTGGTTTCACTAATTTTTGCTGATTCAGATCACATTTCAGCTGACTGTGTCCCATTAGCAGGACTGAATCAAAGAAGCGTATTTATGGTCAGGGTCCTGAGGGGGGCTTAAGACGCTTGGAGTGTTCTCCATATTCTGGCACAGACTTTTTTGCTAACTCACATAATTTTCTGTATTATTTTCTGTAGGGTCTCAGTTTCCCCGTGATACAATGATACTTTCCTTCTACAGAAATTATTATGAAAAATAAGGATGCATGACACTGCAAAGATGAGGTCTGCCTTATAGCACCATATCTGACCCTTGCTTGCCAGAAGGAGGTTAGCAGGACTAGGTGTCAAAAATGTGGGGTGGAAGGAACCTCTGGAGGACATCTAGGCCAAACAGAGGCTTCACATCCTCATGTTGCAGTGTTGCAGTGACATGTTGCAGTAACACGCTATCTTTTTAAACCAAACCATTTCTCTTCATGCTCAGTCTCAGCCATCCCAAACTGTAGTTTATGACTGTTGTCTCTTGCTTTCCTTTTGGTGTTACTGAGAAGGATTGGTCTTTGCAACTCCCACTCAGCTGAAGATTGCTTTTAGCTCTGCCCTCAGCCTCCTCTTCAGCACAGTGAACAAGCCCAGCTCTCTCAAGTGCTCCCTGCATGCCACCTGTCTGAGGCCCCTCACTGTCCTCAGCACGTCCTGTTGGACCTTCTCCAGCTTCCCTAAGCCTGATTAATCTGTGTTACAGGTGGCAAAACGAAACACCTATTTGCCTCACCAGTGCCAGGAAGGGGAGAGTAACAGTGTCCATCAACCTGTCTGCTTCCACATAACATAGCTGCTCTTCTCCCTTGGCAATGAACCACGTGCTCTTGGCTCGTACTGAACTTGGCATCCATCATCACTCCCAGGTAGCTTCCAGCAGGCCTGCTCCTCAGCCAGCAAGTTCCTGGTCTGTACCAACGCACAGTCCAATGCACGGAGATCAGCACTTATTCTTGTTGAACGCTATGAGTTTTCTGCTGGAGTGATCTTCAGGTTTCTCAAGTTCTTTTGCATCAAAGCTCCAGCCATACCCCAGTCTCAGCCATAGCCTCTATCCACCCACCAGAACCTACGATGATTTTTATTCCGTCTTTTGGCGGAAATAGTAAGTTTTGTTCAAAGTAGTCATTGCACACGCTGCTGCAGCTTCAGGAAACAAAAAAGCACAGTCTAAGCAATATCAGGGAAATTGCAAATCTTAGAAATTTCTCAATATATTGTGGTATTTGTTGTGTTCATCAAGCTCTGAAAATGTTAAGGTTTTTTAAAAGAGACTGGAAATCTTGAATGGTTAGGGGGTATTCTGCAGCAGAAATTTCGGTAGGGAAGGGATTGGTGGACCTCAGGCTCTGAAAGATGGATCCAACATCTGGGGTATCTCCAGAGACCTCACAGTCAATCTCACCTGGTCTCTAAGTGAAGGATGGAGTTGGAGTCCCTTCCAATAATGTTCACAGTGGATATTGCCCACCTGTGCCCTGGCTGCAGTGTATGCCTTGGAAATAATGCAGAAAACTGGAGTTGAGGACTGCCATTTGATCTGACATTTTAATGCCTGAGTTTGGAGATGCTGACAAGCTGAGTAAAGCCAGAAAACTCAAAAGTAAATATCACTGCCAGGAACATGTGCCATTGTATATTTCTAATGTTCTCACTGAACTAAAAAGATTGCCTAACTTCCTACTCTTTAATGTCATTCATAGAACTGGAAGATTATTGCAAACTATAGGGGCTGTGCCACGTGACAGTGGTAATTCTGTCCTTGGCACACATTGTTCAGCTTTTGCTCATGTTGTTGCTATGTAGCAATTGTGTTTCAGGCTGTCTCAGCTACATTGCAGCCAGATGTGTGTGATGATAGTGGAATAACATCTAAATGTCGTTAGGTAATGTCCGTATTAGCCACCAGCTTTTCAAAACACATTAGCTCTCCACTGGAAATCTTACAGAAAACTCCTCCAGCAATTGAGACCTGGGTCACCCAACTAAGCAGCTGTGGAGAACATTTGTTTCTGTGGGAGCTGGTGCCTGGTTGGGCAGTGTTGCCCCACTGCTCAGCAGCACTGTCTCACTTGCCAGGCACAGGCACATGGCACATGGGGCCATATGGCATAGGGCTGACACTGCTTTGGATTGGGAGCCTGGGAACCCACAGGATACAGGGAAAGCTGCAGCACAGCTCCAAGCCTCTGTCTTGCTCGGTGAGCACCTTCCCAAAACAGCCAGGGAGACAGCTGGGTAATCTGGCACAGAGGATCCCAAAACCAGGAAGGCTGCCCTGAAAACACCTGAGCCCTGGGCTGCCTGCTGAGGAGCAGTAGCAGATGGCTGGGGCAGCCTCAGGTGGGAGCAGTGGTGGCAGTGCTTCCACAGCTGGGCTGGGGGCAGGAGTCTGGCTTTGGCACTGTTAGTCATGGGCTTCAAAGGAGTGTAAGGAAAGGGAAAGGTGAAAAGGAAGACAGGGCTGACACTTTGAAAGAAGTGGAACAGAAAAGCAGGTAGATGTTGGGTAAAAAGCCCTGTGTTTACCCCTGGAGGTGCAGACATAGCTGCCATGAGGCCCGTGCAGCAAAGGGCAGCAAAAGGCATCAGCCTTATCTTTGCCTTCCCCAAAAGAGGCCCTCTGTAACAAGGTGGCACTCCTAGGATCTGTTAATCCTAGTTGAAGCTGTGCCTCAATTTAGTGCTTCCTGGTAACTTTTCTTAGCCTACTATTCAAGGTCTCATGTAGCCTTTTTTTTTTTCCAAAGAGAAATCTGTGTCCTTCCTGAACATAAATTCCTGAGTTGACTAATGCATTTATATCTACTACACACACAGTAAAACTCATCAGGCTCCAGTAATTGTGGCATTAGCTTAAAATCACAGGGTTCTCCTGGCTTTAAGATTCAGAGAACATCTTTGCCTTTGTCTTTTAAATTTTGCAGACATTATTAATCTCAAGAATCCCATTGATTTTTGACCATATATATTTCTAAACTAAAACTAAACAATTTTTGCATAATACTATGTCACCATGAGTTCATTGTTGATGCTAATACTTGTGGTTAAAGTCTGAATAAAGAAACACTACCACTATGCACAGCAAGCAATGCATCAGAGAGGCAAGGAAGTGTTCTGCAGCCCTGAAGTAGCTGCAGTTGAAATCCATTTCCTAGCAGCTCGTTTGCTTGCAGTTCTGTAGATGTTAAGCATAAGCAGAGTTATCCCCATGCTGCACTGAGTTAACTCCAGTCTCATCTGTGTTTGGCTCCAAGTCAAACAAAGCTCTGAGCATATACTTATATTAGCAAAGGTAGATTATTAATGACATATGTTAAATAATCGCTGTTTACTTTTGTGTCCCTTCTTGGGCTTGGGTATGTTCAATCCCTACAAACATCTGATAAATCTCTTAAAGTCAATGTAACCTAATGTATCCTCATATAAACTTTTCTTTAGGTTTCTTGGTCTCAAATCATATCTGACTCTTTGCTGGACAAGCAGCCAGGAGTATTGGATTCTTTCTATGGATTTTGAATATAGGTCCATGCAAAATTTTATGTCACAGAAATACAGTGAGTATTTTGCTAAGAGAAAACACTGACCAGCTTTCTACTCCAAGTTTGCACATGGAAGTGTTTTACAAGGGTGCATTGACCTGATTTTCAGATATAGAATATGCAAATCTCTGATATTCTTTCAATAAACTTTTCTGTAATGCAAGTTACAAAGAAAACATGAACAGGTACTGTACAGCATGTCTTGCTTATATGCATGCAAACATATAAGCATATGCAAAGTGAAATATTTCCACTTTAGAATGCAATTACTAGGCTAGATAGAAGTTTATTTTTGTCTTTTTAAAAATAAATCAAATTTCTACCAGAAGAGTGAGAAAATTACAAAACATTTCTCAAAGTTATATCAGAAGATTCATGGTCAGTGTACAGATGTTACAAGGAAAACACTCCTGAGATTGCTTGTCATCCTGTTCTGTTTTACAACAGCATACAGAATTTGGGGTACCTCATTAAATATCAGTGTTAGAAGAAAAATGTTTGCACCTGAGAAGCATGCAACATGGATATAATAATGTTTGTCAGCAATTATGTTTAAATATTTAAGGAAATAGTTCAAATGGGGTAGAATTATGTTTCTTACCTGCTTTAAACCTGAGGAGCTCCCAAATACAAAGTGCCCAAAGGGTCACAGTCACTACACAACAGGTAATTCCAACAAACATTCTGTCCCAGTGGACAGAAGGCATGTTGTGGAGCAGACTGTGTGCTATGCTATGAAAAGGTACTGTACATTCATAATCTTGTGATGGATAAACCATTAACTGCTTGTCTACTGATAAAACTTTGACCTTTTCCATTCCACCCAGGAAAAAAGTTTTGGCATGTGTGTGTATTACCTCCTGGGAACTGGCTCAGACCAGGCCTGCATATACTCTGGGGAGGGGTGTTGGCTGGCAGAGGATGAAAACGAGCCAGGCACTGTTTCTGGAGCTAGCACACAGGGATTAGTCCCTTTTGGCCTCAGTTCATTTGCTAGCACAGCCATAACCACCAGGCTCTGCAGCAAGGTGGCCATGAGGGACCAGGGAGGATGCTGTGGGAAGGTCTCTCCTCTGCAGAAATGTTCCTCTTGGTGCTGAAAGGAGGTGGAAATGCTGTCTGTATTAGGACTGGCCCAGGTCAGGCACTTGGCACACACTTTCAGGACAGTATACGGCATTTCCATACTACTTAATTTGAACAGGCAGTGCAGAGCCTTTTTGCATCCCCTCTGTGCACTTCCAGCACTATATATGGTCACTCAGAAGGCAGTGGCACAACTGGGAAAAAAATCTGCATGGCACACCTGGGAATAACATCTGTGTCTTCTGATTCATCCAGAAGAGAGCGGGGAAGCAAAAGAAAATGGGTAAAAGGCAAAGTAAAATGTGAAGGGGGAAGAAAAGTTATACCACCAGAGCTGCCAAAATCAGCATCTTTTTCTGCATACTAGTGTGTATCCTGCTGACAAATTCAAAGCTAAGAGATGATATCACAGTCCAAGAGAAGAAGAAAATAGAGTTATTTTAAGAATGAGTTGGAATAAACACTGTCTTTTTTGTCATCAGCAATCAGTGGATTAATTCCCCATGTGTGAGTAGGGACAGTACCTTGTTTTTATATGGTGGTTTTCATTAGTGAGGAAAGGAGGTTTGTTTGGCTGTTTTTAATTACTGAAGCAATTCCATCTCAGTTTAAAAAACAAGGCTCAAAAAGCTGATGTGACATGCCAAAGATGTATGGAAATGCAGTCAAAAAAAAAGGCTCAGGTCTCTTGGGATGTGGCCCAATGATCGAGACACTAGATACTCCAAATACTTCTATTAATACTACTAGATACTACTGTTTCTTTAACACATTGCAGATTATTATGATGTTTTTTCTTCTTACCAAGAGTAAAGATAAGTAAGATAAGTTATGCATTAAATCTTCTTGGTGGCAATCTGCAAGGTATTAATAATAATACTCATGTTCATATTCAAAGAAACTGATACAGAAAATAGAAAAACACATCTAATGTTTAGTGATCAAGACATTCCATATTGAAGAAAGCACCTAAGGACATAGGGAAGACTGAGGAAATCCTGAAATAATTAGATTACTTTTACAAATGGGAGTTCCAAAATTGTTAATAAGCTTCTTCAGACAGCCAAATGTCTTAAGTGTCTGCTCACAGAGGTTTTAGTTAAAGACAGGCTGTGCAACTACTGGGACAAACCTCCAGGTGGGACAAGGCTGCCTGCTGTCCCTCTGGGTGCAGCTCTGTCCAGCTGTGGGTCTGCCTGCCTCTCTGGGGTAGCCCTTGTGTTACGAGTGTGCCTCTTGCCCTAGATCTTTCCTTTCTCTATGTTATTCTCATTAGCATGGAAAACAGAGAAGGGAAAATATCCTCAGTGCTGGGATCAGCACAGAGGCACAAGGAGGGCACAGGAACCTCGACATCCAGCTGATGAGTGGAATTCTGAGGGTGGGAGGATACAGCTGTCTCCTGGCCATCAAGGGGCCATTTGAGCCTTTTCCCGGCCACTGAGGGGCCCTTTGAGCCTTTTAACTCAGCAAAGTGATGGTTGTATGGCCCAGCTATCTCACTGCTGTCAAACTGTGCAAAACAGCAATGCTCAGCTGAAGAGAACATCTCCTCCTTGTCCTGCTCACAAAGAATGCTTAGGACCCTTGCACGTGTTAATTGCTTTACTGCCTCTCGCCATAAACAGTTAAATGTTTGTTTTTCTGTGGTTGAAAGGGACAAGCATGTAAAACTGAATCTAAGAGACACATGGGAAGATGCTCATCTCTGAGCAGAACTAGTACAGACAAAGCAGAAACAAAGTGTAATTTGGATCTTGCGGATGGGGGAACTGAGTCACAGAGTAGTTCAGTGACACTAAGTTAAGTTACATCCATAAGCTTATCTAAGCTAAGTCTGAGGTTTGCAGTATATTAAAAGCATATCCAGCTTCTGAATCACAGGTCTGAGTCGTTTGCTAATAGACATGCTGCTAGATGATTGCAGATATTTTTAAATGACAAAATAGGAAAGAAATAGGAATTAATTCTCATGGTTATTTACATTGCTGTTTCTGTTCAATGGAAACAACATCCCTTCTTCTTTCCTTTTCATAGCTGTCATCATGGATGTCTTTGACCAGCATGTTGTGTTTAGATATATGAAATATTGTAAGTCCAAAACCTTCGTTTGCAAGCCCAGGTTTGCAAATGGAAGACAATTTGTTAACTGGGAAGTAGGATTGTGAGTAAAAATGATTGTGAACTTCTAACTTTGCATTAATGTTTTATATAAAATTTAGGCGGGAAAATGGCATAAGAAACCAGATGGCAAAACCAACACGAATCAATAAAAACATTTTGAAAGATAGTACACTTTTATGTATGAAAATATTAAACCATGTTTATATGATAGAATAATCAAACTGAAGGGAAACCTTAATACTTGCAAATGTGTATATGGTGTATACACACCACTCTTGAGTGACGGGATATGCTTCTTTTGCTTTCCTCCATTTCTTTTAAGCCTTAATTAAAGCCAGATGTTTCTTATTGCCTTTTTTTTGTTGTTTTCAGGCATGCACAAAGTGCTGTGCCAGCAGTAAACACCATCTCTGACTTTTTTTTATGTGTCGACTGCATCTGGCTGAGTCAGAGTCACAAACCAGTAAAATTCCAGCAAAGCAATGCAAGCTTTCACTCCTGCTGTCATTCCTGTTGAGAGCGGGAAATTGGCATTGCTCTTTCTGGGATTGATGCACAGGAGCCATAAAAATCCAGCGTGTGTCTGAGAACCTTGCCACTGGCAAATAACGCTGGAGGCAGACTGGAATGCTGTACACTATGAACGCAACTGCCCCTCCCATACTCTTAAGAGTGCTGGGAGTGATTTCTTGTGCTTAATTGCTATTCAGTTGTATAGAACTGCAATCTGTTTTCTATTTCTTCTTTGTCCCCCTCAGGGACTCAATGGCTGGTAACTACAGTGTGTAGAAGTAACCATTTCTGCTCCAATTTCATGCCCTTACTGTGACATTGACCTCTTAGGTGCCATCTCTGGCAGAATATTTTGTCAGTGAATGGCAGTGGTCTATATGTGAGAGCTTTCTTTCCAAACCAAATTGCAAAGTACTAATGCTGTAGTATTTATAATGATGTTTTTCAACTACTTTTTAAAACTTATTTTCATTCTA